CGGCGTTGCCGTCATCATTGCTAAAACTCCCTATTTAGGAGCTCAAGCAACGACGACGGCGACGCCGAGGACGACGCCTAATCAAAAATGAATATATATTTTACCAGCAAAATTTGCAATTGTCTACAACGATTGAGTGAGCCATTGGCTCTAAAAACATGCTCAGGCTAAATATGCATTGACAGCGTTCAATTCCAAATGAGAATACGACAAATTAGCTGCCATTGTTCGCGTTCCTCAGACTACGCAGAACTTAAATTCGTATAAATTTACGAGTGGTGTATTTTCCAGTAAAACACTCTTGTCTATACAACAAATGCTAGTATAGAAGCTTAAAGTTTGTTTAAGGCAAACAAATTTCTTGCTTAGCTTTTAAACCAGGTGACGACCAAAATGTTGCCTCATAACCACGTGAACCTTTTCTGGCAGAGAACAACTGGGGTTGACTCTTTCCTGCGTCAGAAAAACTGCATTCCTTGTCATTCCACTGCCCCTGTCTGTTCGATCTAGGGGTTGCATATATGTGGACAAATTTCTCACGAAGGTTATTCGGCTCGCTACTTGCCCATGCAGAAAACTGACCCGCTAGTGGAGTGCCATCGATCCAGTAGAACGCATCTTCAGCAGACGGATTTCTGCCAAGACCAAGCCATGTGCCAAAATATGTTACCTTTTTTTGCTTCTTTAGCAGTTCTATAGTAAAGTTGTTCTCTTCTTCTGATCTGATGATAGCGAGGTCTGTTCCCAGATTCTGGCAAGTCGTTCGAGCGTCGCTCCATTTGAGGGTCGGAGTGTCGATGACATGGTAACAAGAATTTCCATGAAGAACCCAATCTTGTGGACAACCTAATTAGGTTAAATACAAGAAAGGAGTATAAATACTTCAATCAGTAGAATTATTTACTGATTAATACAATTTTCATGTGACTTCGAAATGACTATGCGTTAACACAAACAGATTTAAAACTAGAAAGAAGCAATTTAATTGGCTAAGCGACCGGAGCCGACAACGCGCACGCGTTTGGTTGCATGGTTTAGGCAAACGACGCAAACCAAAGCGTACAGATTGCGAGTAGAATCCTCTTTGACGTGACTTGCTTTACAGCCTCTGATAAGTAAATTGAACAAAACTAGCTTAATATCAGGGGTGTTAGTGGAAACTGCTCAAAGTTTGTTTTGATCCCGGCTACCACAAACAGGTCAAAAAACAGCTTTTCAAAGTTGCGCGAAAGCTGACTTTAAAGCCAGCTTCAATTTGATATCTTGATTTTCATTCTGTCGATTGCTTCTTTATACAGCTTTTCAGTTACATGACAGTTTTGACAAAGAGCCTATCATTTTTTGCAGCCGACGCAAAAGATCGCCTAGAGACGGAGAAGATTTGTCAAAACAAGCAAGCATTATTACAAAGGAAAGTAAATACTTTTTACCGGTGTTTTACCGCTATTTAAACTGAGGCACAGCATGTAATTATTACCCAATCTAACTTCACATCTGTCTCCAGTCCAATGTGGTTGACAAGAGCATAAAAACGTTTGCTTTCCTTTGTCAGGCTAACAGGAACCTCCATTGAAGCAGCTAATTAATAATAAGAAAAGTCCGTCACATGTAGAAATTCAAATATAATATATAGTAAATGAAAACCCTGAGGACCATTGGAGATAAAATTTCAGTAGCAATCCCAAAAATGTAACTTCTTTTCTTAATTGCATAGGCCAGAATTAACACTTAACAGGAATGTATAATTCAGCCGTTTGGCGAAAACATGTCATTTGTGGTAGGCTAGATTAAATCCAAAATCACCTCATACAAATTACCTTCAGCTTCACAAAGAAAGCGACTCCCTGCTGATCATGAAAGTTGATGTTATCGTTGATGGGGGAGATGTCGTGCTTGTTCAGTTCACAAGTTCCTTTGCCGTCCTTCCTGGATGACATCTTGTAGTTTGTTGAAGTACACCAAGCGTTTCTCATACATTGTTGGCCGCAAGATAACAAACTGGGAGTGTCAAACCTTTTAACAACGTATCCCTTAAGGTGCTTATTTTCTCGAATTTCAAAGTATGATGAACGAGATNCGAAAACATGTCATTTGTGGTAGGCTAGATTAAATCCAAAATCACCTCATACAAATTACCTTCAGCTTCACAAAGAAAGCGACTCCCTGCTGATCATGAAAGTTGATGTTATCGTTGATGAGGGAGATGTCGTGCTTGTTCAGTTCACAAGTTCCTTTGCCGCCCTTCCTGGATGACATCTTGTAGTTTGTTGAAGTACACCAAGCGTTTCTCATACATTGTTGGCCGCACGATAGCAAACTGGGAGTGTCAGACCTTTTAACAACGTATCCCTTAAGGTGCTTATTTTCTCGAATTTCAAAGTATGATGAACGAGATATAGGGTTTTCTTCGGTGGAGAAATCGGCGGTAGATTGTAACAGGAAGAATAACAAAACTTTCGTAAATCCCATCGCTAAGAAAAGTTGACGGGAACTATAATATTCTTAATATCGTAGAGATATGTCAAATTACACGCTGTATTATGTAACTGAGAAATCAGTTCATAGTGATAGGCGGAAAGTAGGCAAATTTATTCGTAAATTTTTAATTTATTTTGCAGTTCACTACAAATAAAAACATTTGGGAGATGGCCTGTAATCTTCATTTGAGCCCTGATGATGAAACGAAATACTCGGCTCCCTAAGACGACGTGAACGATTGGTCGTTTTCAGTCGGTATAATCAGTTCGGTGGTGTTCGGTTGTCTTCGGCAACCATCGTTTAACAGGTGCTCTTATTTTCCATTCGGTAAACTAATTTTTGTATTAATGTCATCGCTATTAATTTAACTTGTTCAAAACTAGACACAGCCATAACATCAAACGAGATAACATTGGAGATATCAGCCTTCTTATTTGTAGTAAATTTGTGACTATTCGAAGCGACGAAAATTACCTTCGAATTTCTTGGCCATTGGTTGGTCAAACTGTAACATTTTTCGGATAGTTCTTTTATAAATACAAAAGAAAGATATTTCTTCATCCCTGTAACCAGAAATTTCGTAAAAGGCGATGGTAGACCCAGCACTTAAGTAAGATGAACTTCTTCGATCCGTTACATATTGGCGGGCCGCCAACGTCACTCCAAATAGGCGTTCTCGATATTTTCCAAGGTAGAAAGAACTGGAACTTTTTAACATCCATTTCGTAATTACGGCCCTAAAACAAGACTGCATGCCAAATTTCAGCAAAATCGGTTAGGTATGGTGGCTGCGATATTTTTATTTGGCCCGAAAATAACAGACTATGACTGTTAAATTGTCATGATGATTTTAGATTAAAATTTACATGCAATGATGCTCCTGCTTTGGTCTACTCTCTTTTTAAGTCATTATTATTATTAAATCTCTCTTTATTTTTATTTACTATAGCTTATAAATGTATTAATTCTGCAAATGTTAAAATTGTAGTTTATTGCATTGCATTGTATATAGGTTTATGTGTATCAATAAAGGATATATTTTCGCAAAAAAAAAAACGACGAAATGAGGAATCTTAACGTTTCCTGGCCTTCAGTTCCAGTGCAAGAAAATAAGGCCTCGACAGTTGATACATGTTCCTTAGCATTTTTTTATTGCAACAATAACGTTACTTACAATACAAATATTGCCTACACTTGTATTTAGCAAGTAATATTGCCTATTACTTGCAATGGCGAAATAGCTTACAAAACCCTAGCACAGCTTGAAATACTTACTCTTCTTACAGTATTAACAGAACTTACAATATGTGTGGGAATGCCTTGTTTGAAAAGCTTCAGAAATTAAAAGATGACCATGCTCGTCAGGGGCAGTACTTCCTTGAGTACCTTAAGTTTTCCTGCACTCCAACATGCGATGGATGCCTTAATGAAGGTTGGACAAGAGGTGTTCCTGTCCAACGTTCTCCAGTTCCAACCCTAGATGCTACTTCGCCTGGAAAGTATTTACCATTCACTACGGCAAAGTCCATTGGAAACCAGATCGACAAGTTTCTCCCAAGCTAAGTGTCCAGATAAAGAGACTGTTCAACAAGGGAAAATTGCCCTCTTCTGAAGAAAGGTCTTTGCAAAAGGTATGTTCCCAGTACAACATGGACGAAACTGCATGTAAAAGTTATGTACAGCACCTTGAGTTCCTCGATGCAAAAGCCAAAAAAAGAGTAAGAGAAAGGAACACTCTTCCGCTTATTTCTTGGGCAATTGANAAAGTTATGTACAGCACCTTGAGTTCCTCGATGCAAAAGCCAAAAAAAGAGTAAGAGAAAGGAACACTCTTCCGCTTATTTCTTGGGCAATTGAAAAAAAATGTAAAAGCGCTTACGAACAAGCAGCTGAAAATGTATCTAAAGCAAAAAGGTCTTACGATAGGTGGAAGCAAGGCTGAGTTGATTGATCGAGTTCTCACCTACGCACGCGGAAACCTTAGTGTCAGAGATGCTGCAGAAGATGAGGAATCTCCCAATTTATGCGAAGACGACACAAGCTCAGAGTCCAGTGATTCTGATGACTCTTTAATGACTCTTCGACATCCGAGTCATTTCAAGTTATGTTTGCACCAGAGGAAGAACTCCAACAAGTAAACTAGGTATGAGGGAATCAATGGGAGGAGACTATTTTACAGGGGGGGTAGCCTTAATATTATCATTATGTGAGGGGGTTGAAATTAAATTTTTCTTAATGAGAGGGGGGTATGACTTAGTTTTGGGGCATATTTCACCCATTTTCCACCCCGCCCCCTCCTCGTTCTCCAGGTAATTATTGCACAGTCCCTTAGATAGCCCTGGGCGTTCTCTACAAGATGATACCATTTCTGTTGCTGTTGGTTATAACATGATATGATGTCAAATGACGTCATTTGACCCGCCATGTTGGATTTCAGTATTTTCTTAAGAGTGCGTCCATGAGAAAACCAGGCAATAAGTGATACAGCTCAAATCACCGATTTCGCTCTAACTTGGCACAAATGTTGGGTTTGGTGAGTGTATGATTGTGGCAAAAAAGCTGGTCAAGATATTTGATTCCCTTCAACTTGCGGGGACCCCCTGCAAAAATGGTCATTTGACATTAATTTCTGCATATTTAATTCGCCATCTGTGGTTTAGTATTTCTGCAACAAGAAAAATCATGTGAAAATGAAATCCACTGGATCATGTTCTACATCTATCAGTCTAAAAGCAGCTGCCTCACCCATTAAAACTGACTTTAACGGTGATTCTTTAAGGTACTTTTCAATTGGCACTAAAAGTGGCGCTAAAATTGGCACTAAAAGTGGCTCTAAAACTGACACTTAATTAAACTGGCTACAACGGTTCCACCTCAGGTGGCAGTAAAATAAAAATGATGACTTTTCAGATGGCACTAATAGTAGCGCTAAAAGTACTCCTAAAGGTTTCACTTGAAATAGCAGCAAAATAAAAATTGATCTAGGTCCCTTATAGCTAGGACTCATGATCAGTACACGTATTACTAATTTAATTAAGTCACTATTAATTTTACCTAAGCTAACTTAGCACCTTTCTCCAGTCCAAGGCGGTTGGCAAACACATGGAAAAGTTTGTTTTTCCTTGTCAGGCTAACAAGAACTCCATTAAAACAGCTGGTGAAATGTAGAAAAAAGAATTAATGAGATTCATCAGTGGTGAAAATAATTGACCAAACCTTGCAAATAGTCAGTTTCTCAAATAAATTGGCTTTATTTATCTCTTTGCATAACCGAGGAGTGTTTTCGTTTCGCGAGAAAGATACAACTATTGCTGGACTAGCTCAAAAATCTAAAATCACTTTAAAGTAATTACCATGAGCAGCATCGAGAAAGTAACTCCCTGTTGATCATGAAAGTTGGTGTCGTTCTTGATGAGGGAGATGTTCTGCTTGTTCAGTTCACAAGTTCCTTTGCCCTCTTTCTTGGATGACATCTTGTAGTTTGTAGAAATACACCAAGCGTTCCTCATACATTGTTGGCCGCACTGGGAGAATCAAACCGTTTCACAACGTATCCGTTAAGCTGCTTATTTTCTCGCATAGCAAAGTACGATGAACGACGAGGCGCAAAGTTTTCTTCAGCGCAGAAAACGGCAAAAGTTTGAAACAGTAAAAGTATTAAAAACAGTATACTTGGCATTGTTAAGCCGTGTGGGTGCTGGCCTCGAAGTTTGTGTCATGTAATTTTACTTAACGGAAACTTTACTTTATTTGAGCCCGTGGCGAATATGGTAATACAATTCCTTTCGACATCATGATTGGTTGATTTGTTTCGGCGTAATCAACTCGGGAATGGTCGGTAATCGTCGGTTTTCGTTAAAAATGCTGGCGGCAATATTTCTTATTTTAAAAATTTTTGTTGGAAACTTTACGGCTAAAATTTATATTCGTGGGAAATTAACTAACTGAGCCATTAATGTTTGTATTCCACTTTGTATGTCGTCTATGTAGTGTTTCTTCATTGTTCAAGAGCAAATAAGTAGCAGTTTAACCGACTTTGATCTTAAGTTAACTCTTAACTACATTTAAGTTATTCCAATGGAGAACATAGGCCTCACTCGACATATTCGACAGCCTGGCGAAAGCGAGCAAAATATACTCTTTAATCATCCCGCAAACTCCAACATTTTAAAAGCGTGTAATTTG